AACAGTTTGCATTATGCAATTAAAAATCCTAACCAATAAAGTAGGGAATAGCTATCCAACTGTTGTTTTAGTTGTATGTTACTTCATATTATAGTTATATCAATGTAAATCATTGTTTTCCCTTGTGTTTCTCATTCTTTCCCTGCCATGTCGTAAAATGTGGTGAACCCATCGCTGTATTTGCTCCAAAGCAAATATTGGCCTTTCTAGTTTATATTTTATTTTTGCAATGTGATTTTGCAATAATCCATATTTACATTGGGAATAGATTTTGGGGTTGAGATATTCATTGTGATGTCATCTGACCTTAAATTTTCTGCCATGGAATGCCAAAATACTAACTTTAGAGCATTGACTATTTTTCTACCATGGCTGTATGCGTACTTTAATGCATTGAAGTGATACAAATGTAAGGCGTTATAAACAGGGGGCGGACAATTTGAAATTTGACCAAATGTCGACATTCAGGTCTCCAAAAACTGCGTTTTCCCCAAAAACTTTACCTCTACTTATGACAGCATTACGTTTCCAACCTGTCATAATCTCCGCCCGCATGGAGATGTGCTCATGCCACGTTTGCGGATGGATTTTGACAAAGCGCGCAGTTATGCTGCCATTGAAGTTTCCGAAGTCGTTGTAGACCGCCACGTCTCTGTCGTCATTCGCCGGAAAAACCTGCAGCATATAAAGACATTGCCTAATAGTATATGCCAAGAAATCAAGCCCTATTTAGAAACAGCCACATCCACACTTTGAGAAGTTCAAGTTTATCACAGGACAAAGTATACTGGCGAAGGAAACAATTTGAAACCAATGAATATAGAAAAAGTTACATGATATAACTTATTATATCTTTCTTATTACTAAAAACAGCAAGGGCTAACATACGTCTGTGATACAGTGTTGCAATCAATATAATTGAGGCTAAGCATGACATAAAGATATATTGAAATCTATCTGTAGAACTGGTTCTCTTGAAATCTGTTGTTATAGAATAAAGATAAATAGCTGACGCAAAACATCTCATCTAGAGCATTCCATGACAAAGTGAAATTAATATTCAATTTATATATATTTATAGTATCTGCCTGTTTCTATATTCAATGTAGGAATACGATTTTAGCATGCAAATATCTTAGTAGATAGCTATTCAAATAAAAGGAGGAATGATTCTTACAGTAACTTGCCCATCAGCATCGGTGTAGAACTTCTCATCGCCGTTTTCATCGCCGTATGAAATGGTGTAGGATGTGACGTATTGGTCATGTATGCCGGTGGGCCAATCAGCGCTGTAGTTCCTGCCTCGGGTGATGATTCCGGTGATGACGCTCACGTTACCAAGGTCCCTCATCAGCCATTGGTCCTGGTCATTGGTTGCTGCTGCCCATGCACCTGCTGCATCTGCAGTCTCGCGAGTGTTGATATCTGCACGATCAGCTGAGTGACGTGAATCAAACTCCGAGGATGCTGACCAGGATGGAGGTTCTAAAACAAAGAAAAACGTGACGTTTGTTAAATAAATATGAAGCCAGAGCTATAGTTAATTTGACTATCAGCTTATAGTTTACGCACATATTTTAGACTGTTTTATTGAGCAAAGAAGAACAGGAACACTAATTAGTTTCGATCATCCCTGGCAGCTGCGATGGCTGAATTGCGGGGAATGTTTTGACAAGACATTTCGAAAAAATATATACTTTTATCAATTTTAACAGAAAGAGTATATTACATTTAAAACAGCGATTAAAATCTATACGGCGTATTCAGTCAGGTGACCCTTCTTGTAGCAACTGGACGGGCTGCAACGAGCAGGCTGCCCCCATGTT